GACTTTTTAGTTAAATTGCTAGTGAATTGAGCGTCTGTTATTAAAATTTCACAAGTTTTGCAGCCATTAGTTCCACATTTCGAAATGAGACAGTGTTGTTCATGGTCATCAAAATCAAAAATGTCTTTAAGGAGAACTGAATATGGCTGTGTATGTGTACTATTGCTATTGCCACTAGTATGATGATCTGAATGAGTCATGTTTGTGATATTTGTCATGTCTTGTGAGGGGACACCTGCCTTATCAGACGACAACGTGTCCATGGTGACGTCTGTTTCGGACCTTTTTATACTGGGCGACGTCCGAGCCAGTATCCTGTTAGATCTTCGTAAATTCATGCAATTTTGCTACTGGGCGGATGATGTCCTCGGGGAAAAAATGTCCACCAGTAGAGACATCGACCCAGTGGTTATAAAAGAGGGACGAAAGATACCAGAGGGACAGTCAAACTCAAAGATCGAAAACAAACTGACAACGCCATGGCCAAAAATAAAAAGACAAACAGACAAATAATAGCACAGACGACACAACATAGAAAACAAAAGACTAAGCAACACGAACCCCACCAAAAACTGGGGGTGATCTCAGGTGTTCCGGAAGGGTAAGCAGATCCTGCTCCACATGTGGCACCCGTCGTGTTGCTTATGTTATTACAAATCCGGTAAATAGTCTAATTCGGTAAGTCACATTCGTGAAAAGGGAGGGTATTGTAGTTACGACATAAGGAATATATCCGATATCATCTGTGAAACGGTTATTCCATAACGGTCAACCAACTCGTGATGGCGTCCGTAAAATTTACGAAGGGATGACTTCAACTTTACCATTTGGAACTCTTGGTTAAATAGCTTCCTTGTGAGCAGCAATCCTCTATCAAGGAAATCATGATAGGAAACACAAGCCCGGGAATATCGTATCAATTGGGAGATATATACTCCGTATGCAGGTGCTGCTGGAATGTTGTTACATAGAAATGGAAAGTTCACAATTGGGAAGCTGAAATCATGGTAACGAAATCCCTGACTTAATAATTTACCAGTCATGCATTGATTACGTTCGTTAAAATCTATGACATCACTACACACACGGCATAGGCATAAACTCATAATAGTATCACACTTAAATTTCTTTTAAGTATAAGAGCATTTTGAGAACAGTAGTGATATACAGTAATTAAACAACTAGTTATAAGAGATAGAAATAAGAATTTCGAGAATTTTTTTTACCGATATTTCAATTTCAAAGCAAATAACGAAAAAAAACACAAATTTTACGAAACTTATAGAAAATTGACATGGTTAAGTTTATTTGTAATTTCTTTTTCGGAAAGTCGTTTTCACATTAAGAAAGTTTTTAACAATTTTGTCACATTTTGTACTCGTATTGTCATATAGGAAAAACGGTTATATTCGTTCCCATATAAGCGATCGAAAATGCTAAAATTCTATCAATTTGCTACTTTTTATAAAAAAAACCAGGACACGAAAGTAGTACTTTATTATTCTATTTTGAAAATTAAAGTCAAATAGCGGAATGGATCTATTTATGGTATTCATAGCTGCCCTAATTTTACAGCAAATTTATGAAAAATCAGGAGCCTTTTCGAAAAATTCTCAAAATCATATTCCGATGCGTTTTAAAATTTTAATTCTCAGTACAGTTATTCATAAATCAATAAAAACGTAGATAAAGACGTTCAGAAAAACTGTTTGAAAATGTTGGTTATAAAAATAAACTCATCAAAGATACCAAGCTTATAACTTTTTACGCGCTTTATGTCTACAAAACACTTATCAGTGACGCTCGAATCGAAAAAGTAAAAAGTTAATGTAGCTAATAACAGCTTGAAATTGATTTCCTTTTTAATTATTTCCAATGTAGGTGCAAATTGTGCTACTGATTATACCTTAAAATCAAGGATAAATTGACCTGCATTAAGCATCTACTTAAGCTCTCAATCGTCCCGAGTCTATATAAGTTGTGAAATATTAAAGGGGCATAAGCTGTCAAATTCAGCTTCACTGATTTAACCCAATTTCTAATATTTTGTTTATAACATATTAAAACGAATAACCAAATTACAAATAGTGCAAAAGAAACAAATGACAATGCATGGGCTCGCTATAATGTATCAGCATTTCGTAAGTATTTTAGACAACACACAATCTAATTATCCATCGAGATGACCTCCGAAGACTGTCGACGGTCATATAACCCTATAAAATATAAACAAAAAGCGAGCATGTACACTTGGTTTTTTTCTAGGTCTGTTTATTTCATGTTTTAGGTTAAAAAATATATTTAAATCATTGTTTTAAATTTACAAGAAGGATTTTCTGTGGGCAGTATCAGTCAACGAAATGGTTATTCCTGGTGGCTCCCTTTTTTCTTTTTTCAATGTTGACATCCTTTTCTTTTAATGAATGGACCACACGATGAACACATGCGCACCGTTCTCATCTAAGAGTCAAATTAAAAGGTTGCATAAATATGGCTTTAAATGAGTTGAATTGCAAGTCATCAATAATGTTTTTATAACGTTTTTGATAAAATCGAACCAAACTGACTGCTAATAGCAAAATGTTATTTCTTATTTCCGCTTTTATAGATGTATGAAATAAAAAATAATCATATTTATTTTTGTGTTGAATTCGTAACTGATGCCCATTTAAACAGAAATAATTAAATATCTACACTCAACATTGATTTCCCTAAATAAAAAATAAATGTCTGATGAAGACTGTATGTGGACCTCTTAATGTCTTCTGTTGTTTTATTTTGTCGTTTGGTTTCTATCACATATACCAAACATCTCTTTTTATTCATACTTATCTTTTCATATAATATGAAAATAAGATGTGGTATGATTGCCAATGAAACATCTCCCCGCCAGAGACCAAATGACATAGAAGTTTACAACTATATGTCACCGTACGACCTTTAACAATGAGCAAAACCCATACCGCATAGTCATCTATAAAAGGCCCCCAAATGACAAATGTAATACAATTCAAACGAGAAAACTAACGGCCTGATTTATGTACAAAACAATGAACGAAAAACAAATATGATATACAGCAACAAACGACAACCACTGAACTACCGGCTCCTAACTTGGGGAAGGCACATACAAAATGTGGCGGGGTTAAACTAGTTTATTGGCGCCAAACCCTCCCCCTAACCTGGGACAGTGGTAAAACAGTGCAACATAAGAACAGATGTTTTCTATGTATGTCAGAATGATACCAGACATTCAGCTCGTGACAGAAATTTACAACATTAATCTAAAATATAAAATATAATCATTACAAAGAAAAGAAATTTCGTGTCTGTAAAAGTCATGCATGTATTTCCTGCTTTATGCAGGTCAATGTATCCTTGATTTTAAGGTATAATCAGTAGCACAACTTGCACCTACATTTGAAATAATCAAAAAGAAAATCAATTTCAAGCTGTTATTAGCTACATTAACTTTTTACTTTTTTCGATTCGAGCGTCACTAATGAGTCTTTTGTAAACGAAAAGCGCGTACAAAGTTATAAGTCTGGTATCTTTGATGAGTTTATTTCTATACCCAACATTTTCAAAAAGATTTTATGAACATCATCATTTAAGTTTTAAACATTTATACAGTATAACACTTTAGTATGAATTATAGCCAGTTTTAAGCATATTACATCGTCTAAAGTAATTTTTCGGGCGATGTAAAGCTGACAGACGGGTACATCTGTTGTGACATATTACATAATATGATACTTTAAAAGTTTTAAAAAGACACTCAACATGCTTTCATGTATAAAATGTGAATGTCCTTTGCTGATTTATTTTTTAAGATTTAAAAAAAATTCGTTTACACATCTAGGTTAAATACTCCGACCAATGAATTTATTGTTCTCTGTTATCCAGATCGTGATTCTGAACGGTCATTGGCATAATACGGTTTATCCAAAAAAATCGACCAAATTGCAATACATTCGTACGTATACTAGTGTAATCATTTATTAGAAATACTTAATATTTTTGCAAGTAATCAATAAAAAAGACATGATTTAAAAGTGAAATATTTCTCAGTACACTATGAATTTTACGTAAAATATTAGCAATTGAGAACTCATTCCTGAACAATTAACGAAACAAAAACCCTCAGAAAGTGTAATACATGTAACTACATCTGACAAAAAATTAAGAGAACATTTCGGGCCAAATTGACCCTTAAATCAAATGCTTAGAAATAGCAAAAAGCACAGCCGTCGCCCAAATAGATATGCACACAGTAAGTGTATTTTATGTGGCAAAAATATTTTGGGCGACGCTTGTACTCTGTGTAAATTAAGCCAGAATGTTCTTCAAATCAGCCTATTTTTTTATAATTTTTTTTTATTAAAACATCGTTATTGCACTTTATGCTGGTTAATAATTTACTTAGCATACAGCATTGGGCTAAGTTTCCCTGTGTATTAATTGTTAGATATCCAGGGAGAATATCTAATAAAATATATATGAATGTAAGTATTATACACTTTAACATAATACATAATATAAATAAACATAAATATAAATTGATTCATACGATTTTATGTCTACTTACAAATCGGAAAAAATGACGGATCTTTACCGTAACGTTTTATGGTTATTATGTGTGTTTACTTTTCTCACAGGACACCTGTGTAACTGGAATTTAATTAATCTTTTATGATAATTTGAAAGCTTTATTTTTCAAACTTAATTGTTTGACCATGCTAATGGGAATAAATATAAAGGTAAGTGTATATAATTATGGTAATTGCGAATCAATAGGTTATGTTTTCAGCGATGCATTTTGTTTGGCACCTCGTGGTCTATTATTTATACACGGAAAGTAGCATGTGTTGATTTGTCAAACATACGCACTACAAATATCACTTACAAGTCAGCCGGACAGAAATCCCTGATTTGTCCGTTAAATCTCCGGATTTATTATTCGAGAATCAAGTGGAGATAATTTCTGAGAAAGCCTTCAACAGATGTCGCTGCGCAGAAAAATAATTCCCCCAGGAAGATGACCCGGTAGGAAATCGTGAATTTTTGAAATTTTAAGAAATGAGCGGTAGACATGATATCATAAGTTTTAAAATTATTTGAAAAATATAAGATGTCAAAATAATGTATCGTTGAAAAAGAAATTCAATTCCTTAATTTTCAGTCTTCGGAACCGCCTTTTTTTTCAATTTCAACTGTCATTGACAAATTTTCAGCTCTGGACGAATTGACACAAGCCTGGTTTACGTAGGAAAAATAAATATGACTGGTTTATTTTGATAAACTGGAACATGGAGAACAGAACTAGGATGTTCACATGACGTTACCATTCGTTGTTTACACACGAACACAATTTCAGTACACATCACAATTTTGTGCATTCTTTTTTAGGAAGTCCAGGTGTAAATTATTGTGACCATGTCAGGATTTGTCCTGAATGACAAGACTCCAGTGTAAACATCCTAAGATCTGATATATCATAGATAAAAGACAGAGGAAAAACATTTGAATAGTGTCAGATCTTTATTTTTTAACTCACAGATGTAATTGCAAAAGAATGAAGATGATATCACATCATAATATAATATTGTTTGTGCTCATTCCCTGTTCATCTTCAAGCAATCATTCATTAGTTGTTCCATAGATGGTTGTTGAATCTGCATCCAGTTTAACTAAATTAATCTATATTTATGATGATTTAGTCCATTCTATGTTTACAATTGTTTAGCTGCATGTACCTGCATTTGATGAGGATTTATATATTAGGTCAACATGGTAATTTTTTTTTCATTCTTCATTATTACACATATTTAAGTATATGTTACCAGAGATGGTTTTATATAGCTCTGATGGTTTAATTTAGACTTAAAAAAAGCTTTTCATACCCATTATATATTTATTTTTCACACTCAATGTCCCTGTTTTATGTTGTAATTTTTTTAAAATTTGATTATATAAATTTATACCCACTAAAAGATACAAAATTACATATTATTAGTGAAATGCTATTTTCAGATGGTTTTTTTTCAGTGTATTGGCATTTTACTTTTATCATGTTTATAGCATGTTTTGCAATATTTAGTTATTTGATATACATGATTGGGGATTGGGTTTAAAGTTGACAAATACTTAGTAGCTGTCACACCCAGAATGCATCCTGATATTGTTGGCATTCACAATAACTGTTTTTGCATATATATGTACACATGTTCTATAAAGTAACTTGACATTTCTGTTGAAGCCTGAAAGTGCATTTTTTTTATATTTGTATACTCAGAAAAACAAGGTATCTCATTTCCTTTATCATATTATTAAATGAAGGACTGGTGGTTTCATTTGATAATAAGAGTTGAAGTTTTTATTTTCTCTTGAAAAATATGAAATTTGATTTATCTTGTTAAATACAGACATGCCAACTCAAGGGGATTGTAAATGATGGATGAGTATCCATTTCATATGCCAAGCTCTATATCCCCTAAGTCCTGATAAGTTCGAAATGATTAAAAACAGACACAACTACATTTTATAAATGCTTATTTTTTATAATCCCCCTTTTCTGAAATGAGACAACACACGCTTGTGGAGTTTTTATTCCCCGAGGGTATCAACAGCCCAGTAGTCAGCACTTCTGTGTTGACATGACTTATCATTGATATGGTCATAATTAAAAAATTGACTGTTTACAAAACTTTGAATTTTTGAAATACTAAGGTTTTTCTACTTCAGGAATAGATTACCTTAGCTGTATTTGGCAAAACTTTTAAGAATTTTTGGTCCTCAATGCTCTTCAATTTTGTACTTTATTTGGCCTTTTTAATTTTTTTTTATTCAAGCGTCACTGATGAGTCTTTTGTAGACGAAACGCGCGTCTGGTGCAAATACAAAATTTCAATCCTGGTATCTATGATGAGTTTAATTATACACAACAAAACAAATGACAGGTTGGCAATCACTGTCAGGCCAAAGGTCAAAATATAGTTAGAATGAAAAAAAACCACTGCAAAGGAAAAAATTCTTCAAAGAAAAAATGCAATTCTGACATTAATTTGTGCAGGGAAAATTTTTACTCTTTCACTCAGTCTCTAAATAAAGCCCTGATTATATTTTTATTATTTATTAATTGAAATTACATGTTTGGTGAATGGGAAGCCTTTTTATAGAGTACCTTGATATTTCCATTTTTAATAAACATTGTCATGGGTATTATATGCAAGTGAACAGGAGTTGTAACATTTCAGTGTTCATCATTAGACCTCAGATACATAATTACTTAAATATTGCATATATAAACATATGTAACACCCATTATGAATGTAAAAAACAACTTTAGTTCACAGATATAACTGAGAATGGGTCTTAACAGAAATCCTCTAAAAATATTACTCTAGAATAGAATATATAAAACATGTACATTTCATACCCATAATCTTTATAAAATATTTTTAATGTAGATCTACAAAGAAAAAATCTGTTTCTGATCATTGAATGGTGAATCAAAATGAAGTATTTATGTGTATTCAAGAATAATACTTGATTCTTCTAAGGAGATGTATGCCTTGAAACAAATATTTCTATCAAAGTATGACAAAATAGAGGTAAACATGCATTCAGGGAAAATGCTGAAACATTTTCCCCCCTTTAATGCTGGAAATTTTTCATCTAAGCTTGGGATCAGTATTTTTTTCTTATATTGTACTGGTCCAAAACACCTCACTTTATGTAAATATTTTTTACCACATAGCTTTTTTTTATTTCTTCTGAAGCTAATTGTGTGTAGTGTTATGGTTTAAAAACAATGTATTTTTTTAAACTGAATGTAATAATTGACAATTTCTCTAGCAATATCCCTGATTTCTAGATGATTATAAGAATTTTGGAATATTTCAATTAAATAGTGATTTACCAAAGCCGACATACATTCTGTAATACTTTCTCTCACTGTTTAGGTCCTGAGATTTGACAGGTGCCCTCATTCCAATGATTAATTATAATTTCCATGATATTTTCATATTTACAAATTTTACTATGGCATACGGATAAATTATTGGAAAAATTTGCCCCAGAAACACTGTTTCCCTTACTAAAATTGAGCGAAATGCTTATTTTCTCTCATTTCTGATCAGCCGTCCCTTCAACGACTTTTAATTCGAGTTATCTCCCTTTGGAAGGTCGCCAATTTTGGACCTGTTGAATTGACACACGGCCGGTTTACCTGGCGAGTTTTTGTAACATAAGGCATTTCATGTTCATAATATCAGGAGGTATCATCCCTCTTAAGGAAAATACGTTACCATTCCGTGTGTCATTTCAATTTAAATTTATTTACTGAGAAGTGTCACGACCGTTGCACGTTTTTTCATCTTTGCCAATCAAATAATCAAGGGAATTCTACATTTTCATTCTTAAAAGAATAACGTAGTGAAAGTTTGAAACCTGCCGTATCATATGATATTTTGTTAAGTATGGTAAATACATAAAATATCTTTACGCCGTCGATTTCGTGGCGTCGTTGCCGTTGCTAAAAAATGTTGTTTTTTGAACTGAAAATCACGAGACCAGAATAATAAAATCGACGCCATTATGAGATTTGCTCTCCGGCTGAAGTTACAATATGTTGATGTCTTTAATAACATTTTTTCGGTTTCAATATTTCTGGTCGCATTTAATTTTATGATTTCGCATTTTTCCGTTTTGAAAATTTTGAATATATCTATCTTTGTTTCTTTTTTGTTTGAAATAAAATATGCCGTATATATAGGGAAGAATATAACTGTAATAAGGTTGTTTATATCAAAATATTTTATATCTGATATTTTATAGCCAGTTACTAAATTTTCTAGTCTTAGTATGTGTGTGTCTATTTGAAGATAAAGTAGTTGTTTGTATATTTCTTGTCAGTATTTAGTGTTATAAGGGCATGTTATGAAAAAATGTTTATAATTTTCATTTTCTTTGCAGAAATTGCATGAACTGTTTTCTAATACTTTCAACTGAACTAATAATACATTGAATGGAAGGATAAATGGAGTAATTTCATTTATACATTTTAAATTTGTTGTTATCTATGTATTTAAATATAAAACTTAGAGCGTTTTTAAATTTTATGTTCAAATTTTCCTTCCCCCTTAAGAAAACCTACATGTTATTCTTGTTTATGAATGTCAAATAATATTGAATATATTTCTTTATTTCTAATTTCTGGACAGATATTTTGATCATGATAATTGATTAATATTTGCAGATTTTTGGTATTCTTTATATGTATTTTTGTTTTAAATGAGCTTTCTTGCTTTAAAATATTCTGCCAACGTTTCGGAATAGCTTTCTTTATTACGGATAATTCTCTAATCCAACCTCGTTTATCTTTTAGTTTAAGTAATATTATATTTTCTGATTTATAACCTCTTTCATCAAGTATGTCATTTACATACAGAATATTATGTTCAATCCACTTTGTAAACAATAGGTATTTTCCTTTTGTTTGTATGTTATGATTGCCCCATAAAATCTGCTTTCTTATATCTAGAAAATTTTGTGGGATCTTTGTCTGTCCACCCTTTACATTAGTCCAAGTTTTATCAATTGCTGATAGAACTCAGAAAGGGATTTAAATAATATTTTGTTTAACATATTAACATTTTTAATGTTCATTTTGATTATCAAAAGGTTCTTACCAAATTTGGTTAAGTAAAATTGGGGTATGATTGACCAATTATCACAAGAGTTTTGTTTAAGTTTTAAAATCGAGCGTAATTGAAGTGCTTTGAGATACATGTCTATGTCGATCATTTTTAAACCACCTATCAAATAGTCTTTACATAGGGTTGTACTTTTAACTTTATCTTTTTTCCCATTCCATATGAAATTATAGACTAGAGTTTTTAACTTTTGTATTATTTCCTTTGGTATGTACGTGTTTGATGCAATATAAGTAAGATTTGGAAGAATTAATGATTTTACTACTATTATGTTACCTATTAATGTTAAATTTCTTTTCATCCAGTCTGATATTATCTTTTCGTATTTTTAAGCTATTTATCAGTGTTCAGTTTTTGACAATCTTGATTGTTATAACCAAAGTAAAAGCCAAGACTTTTAATGTTATCAGTTTTCCAATTTATGTTTTCAAATTTGTCTCTACTATGTATAAGTTTTCCCAACCAAAATCCTTCTGTTTTGTTTCTGTTTAATTGTAATCCAGAGAAGCTACCAAAAGTTTCAATTATTATCATTGCTAAACTAACATCTTTTGGTAATTTAAGAAATAGGGTTGTATCATCTGCAAGTTGACATATTTTTAGTGAGCATTTTTTACCATCTAATTTCACCTCTAAGCCCTTGAGGTTATTATTTTGTCTTAATTTAATTGCCATAATTTCAACTACCAATACGAAGGCTAAAGGAGAAATTGGACATCCTTGTCAAATTCTGCGAAAAATATTAAAACTGCTGGACACCCAACCTTTCTTGATTATACAGCCTTTTATGTCTGTGTACATTGTTTGAATCCATCTTATAAAACTACTTTTAACATGTTTAAAGCCAAAATTTTTCAAGGTTTCTGATATAAAGTTCCATTCAAGGAAGTCAAATGCCTTGGAAAAATCAACAAAAATTATAGCTCCATCTACTTTAAAGTTCTCTGTGTAATCAATAATATCTTGTATTTGCCTAATATTGAAACCTATGTATCTTTTTTTTATATAACCTTTTTTGTCAGTATGAATTATTTTTGGTAATACTTGTTTTAATCTTTGAGCAAGTGCATATTCTAATAATTTCACATCATAATTTAACAGAGTTATTGGACAATAATTATTTAAAGAGAGTGGGTCTTCTTTTTTTATATATTAATGATATTGCCCCAACTTGTTGTGAATTTGACAATTCCCCTTTTTCATGGCAAAAATTGAATACAGATACAATTAATTCTTTTATTTTTCCCCAAAATTTTCTGTAAAATTCAACATTAAGTCCATCTAAACCTGGAGCTTTATTTAGTTTCATTTTTAATATAGCATCTGTACATTCCTGCACTGTGATTTTTCCTTCACATAAATTACTTTCTTTTTCACTTAATTTTGGACATTTTTTAATATCGTTTAAGTACTTTCTGTTAGTTTCAACATCTGGATTAGTAGAGGAATATAAATTTTTATAATAGTTAACTTCAAGGTCAAGTTTTTTTCTTGATCAGTAATTTTATCATTGTTTACATCATACAATCTAGTAATAGTTTTTTTTTTGCACTGCCTGCCTGGCTTTTTCAAGACCTAAGAAGTAAGAAGTATTTTTTTCTCCCTCTTTAATCCATTTCTCCCTTGATCTTATTTGATTGCCTTTTATTTTTTCATTCTACATTGATTGAATCTTTTTTATTTAGGGCTTCCAATTTACAGAACTGAATTGTACAATCTCGAATCTCTATTCCAAAATTGTCCCATAAAATTGCTTGATTTTTTTAATCATTTTTTTAATTTTATAGTTGTTAATGAGATTGTTTATTTTTTTATGGTAAATGTAATCGACTAAAACACTACTATTTAATTTCCAGTTACCACGTCCTTTATTATTTCTTCACGTTTGCAATTTTAAAAGATACACTATTATGGTCAGTTTATTGAATAACAGTTGGTCTAATATCACAAGAGAAGCATTTTTTTTTAATTCAAGTACCTACAAAGAAGTAGACAATTCTTGTGCCTTCTGTTTTATTTTTTTTACACCAAGTGAAATGAGTTTTATCTCTGTTTTTTTCACGCCATATATCTGTTAATTTAAAAGATTTAATTTAAGTTTTAAGTCCGGAGACAGGTTTATCAAATTTTATTCTTTTATTTTAATTTTTTGTATCTTTTTCAGATAAAATATCGTTAAAATCTCCTATTATTAATTGTCCAAGACTATATTTATCTATAAAAGTTTTAACTGTTTTAAAAAAAAGGTTTCTTAGTTTATTATTATTTGGTGCATAAACGTTTGCGATTGTAAGTATGCTTTCATCGATTTCTAAATTTATTAGAAAAAGACTCCCGTCTTTATCTTTATAATAATCAATAATTTTGTTGTTAAGCCTACTTTTTAACCATACGGATACCCCTCTAACATTGCTCTGACCATTACTAAAGAAAATTCTCCTTCAAATACTTGTTTTAAAGATTCTTCTAAGCTGTCAGTAAAATGTGTTTCTTGTATTAGAAGAATATCACATTTTTGTTGTTTTGTCCATTCAAATAGTCGTTTTCTTTTTTCAGTTTGCTGAAGTCACTTAGAATTGACTGTGCAGATATGAAGTTTTGGATCAGCCATGAATGTTAAAGGTAAGAATTAATTTACCTGTATGATTGGGAAACCCTCATCTATTTATAGTATCATTTATCGATTTTGTGCCTTCTTCACGGGTGTCATTCGGTTTATCGAGAGAAATTATCGTGAAAGAATACCTAACGGTGGTCAAGCATTGCGATTGGATCGTGAAAGATCTTGTATCGGATCGTGAATGTAATTAAATGTAAATTCTACTTCAAAATCTGTGAAAATGTCGCTGAATTTCAAAACGCGGAACAAATCCGAACAAAAAAATATGTCTGTCATCATTACTGTGCAATAAGATAAAGAAAATATGCAGTACTTTATGAGAAAACACAAAAGGTGCAATACATGGGATTCTTTAAAAAAACACGCTTTTTGTAACTATAATGGTAATATTCCAATATATCATGATATATTTGAAACTTAGTCTTTGGTGTGTCCGATAGTACAATAAAATAAAAGTATGCTCCTCCCTTGAAACCGTTCATTAGTTTATAAAAACCTTGATTTTGTTGATTATTCATGATAATGAGGTCAAGGTTAGTTGAAACCTTTCTAGTCGAAAATGTACACCTTACAATCATAACTTACATCAAATACAGTTACCCTATAGCTTAACGAATCCGCGATACGGACTTGACTATACACAAAACTAAACATTGATCCATGAAATGAGGCACAGTCGAGGTCAGGTGAATCCTGTCTGACGGACATGTAGATTATAGGATCCCATATACAAAATATAGTTATCCCATAACTCGCGATAAGTGAGTAGTTTACATGACAATAAAAATCTGTATCCTGCAATCAGCCAACTATTATAATACAAATAACATGTTCACAAATAAATTTTTGCATTATTTGTACTTGTACAAATTAAATCTCCTGTTACTCCGCTTATATCTTGAGCAAGCGATAATGTGGATATTTCTTTTTGCGTAACAGTTCATTTTTGAGCCCTCCTCGCGGTCCACGTTTAAACTATGTCAATTTCTTTGAAAAATAAGAGATAATAATTTGGATTAACTTAAGTTTCAAGTGCCAGGTGTAAATTACAGGATAAGAACAATATATCCAATCGCAATACTTGACCACCGTTAGGTATTCTTTCACGATCATTTCTCTCGATAAACCGAATGACACCCTTGTTCTTCTACTGTTACACGCATGTTTACTTTAACCAACAGGTGAAAAATTATCGGCTGTTGTATTATGCTTTAAACAATCAATTCTTTATATTTTCTACATAGTGTACAGTGTTTTACATTACGGAGTGATCCAATGCAAAAACATACTAAATAGTGTTCACATTTTATCATATTTTTTTGAGACACAGTATCATTAAGATATACGGTATTATTAAACATAATATTACAATGTTGTTTTCAAGTGTACAATTCATACAGTTTTTACACAGTATGACCTCGCATTACGGGTCATTATTTGGGTCAACAACGTGACTTTAACAGTTTATGAATACAATAATTGAGTAATAAATTACCCAAATTGCACCTTTTTTGACAGTTATTTCACCTACGTAAATTTATGATCCAGACAAAAGTTTCCATTCGGGTTTTTTTTTTTTTTTTTTTTTTTTTTTTTTTTTTTAAGACTTGAAATACATTTATTGAAAATCACCTGAATAGAATTTACCTTGTATAACCCAGGGAAGTATACACAAGGGGCCCTGTGTTTACATTGATTCATCGTCCAGGGATAAACGGTGGACTCTATTACAAAAAAAAATCTTTTCTAATTTTTTGGCATATAAGTTATACATTCATATTCATTACACAGACAGAGTTTGCGTACAAAGGATTTATAACATTCTACATTAGATATCATAAAATACAGCAAAAGACACACTATACAATCTACACATTATCTTTTCTTATAATTGACATTTAAAATTGTACTTTTAACACCTGGATTACATTGTAATGTGTCGGTCAGTGATTTTATAGGTCACATGCTCGACATTGTAAATTCGTGTGTATTATATATTTCTGTTGTTGGATGTACAATGTTCTAAAAAGGAAAAGAAAGTAAGTACAAAATTGATAGGTTACTTATTAATGTATAAGATTTACTATATATTATATTTCAGCTGCAAAATTTTCTTTTTTCGAAGATAATGATATATCTATAGATTCTATTAAACTGCCCAGTTCCCGTTTTGCATATAATATCAATTGACTGGAAGTAAAACTTTTAGACTGATATTTGATTATATTCCTACATTTCCAATTAATCCATTTAACTGTATTCATAATCGTATTGATTATGACATTATACTTTTTGTTGTATTTGTACATTCCTAGTATGATAAGTTCTTCTCTCATTGGAATATACTCTGTGTTATTCAGTACATTATACTTTTTAAACGCATCAAAAATATGTTCCCAAACAACCATTATAATGTTACAGCAGTGAAAAAGATGTGTGAGGGTTTCGTTTTCTGTTTTACAAAAATGGCATTTATCATTGTTTGATTTGCCGATTCTAAATAGTTTTTGTTCCGTATAGATAATGTTATGAACAATTTTCCAGCTAATTTGATTTGCTTTCCTAGAGGACATATTTTCATTTAAATTTAGCCATATCTTTTTCCAAGGTAATTCCGAATTATACTGAATATTTCATTTTATGTGACAGTTTGGAACTATATCTAAATTTAACGAATATTGGATTAATTTCAAAGATATTTCACTTGGGATTACTACTTTGTTCTGTTTATTGTAAAATTCAAAAGTATTTTTAATATAATAACCCTTTTTTTGTTGTTCGGGATGAACGTGGACGTTTTTTAGTCTGTCCTTGAACGATTTTGGAAAAGCTAATTTCAGTCTTGTCCATTCCGAAATCCAGTTTCTTTTATCTTTAAGGATATTGTATATAAAGTTGTCGCTTTTGATATTTTCGTTTTTTCATCCCAAATATCTTTTATGGTATGAATTCCACTTTTTCCGAAGTTAGCGAAGAAAATAGGTTTTTTCTTGTATTTAATGTTGATGTTTCCAAATAATTGTGGGTTAAGGATATCGTTTTTATTTATTGGACTTTACATACTTAAAACTTTAGACCACGTTTTAATTAAATCAAGATAGTATTTTGGAAAACTTTCCATTTGTAATCCTCGTAAATCCGAACATTTTTCTAAAAAATTATTACAATTATATTTGATATCAAACTTCTGTAACCACCATTTGGCTATCGTGTTCCAGTTATCTGTTTTTGATCTTAAAATCTTTTGCATACTTTTGATTTGTTTGGATTTAATGAACGAGTCTATATTGATCATACCCATCCCCCTTCCTCTACTAGTAAGCAACACACGTCCCTTTTATTAAATTTACTTTTCCCTCCCATATAAAATTCCACATAACCAATGATTCTAATATTAAGACCCTGCCCTTGAATGTTAGGTCACGAGATTTCCAAACCTCAAGACACGCATTAATTTTCTTTATTTTTTCTAACCATATAGCTTCTATATTAACACTGTATCCATGCGTGACTCCCAATGCTTTAATTGGTTCCCAAATTGCATCCATGCTTAAATTCACATCCTTAAAAATCGAATAAGAGATGTTTTGTTTTGTTTCTTCAAATATTTAGAACAATTTGACATTAGTCCATGCTTACTATTCATAAGAAATGGATGCTTGTAACAAGTTTCATTTGCTAATTTTTAAAAGATGACTTTTTGTGGACGTTGCATGGTGACGTTTCCTTAGATTTTACTTTTTCCAGTGAATACTCAGTCATCTTATGATATATACAGTGAAAGTTTTGTGCACATCTACATATATTTTTCTATGTTGAAAGACGTGCATAATATCAAATCATAAAAATACAAATTGTTTAGTCTCTAAAAAAAGCTTGTAAGATTTCCGCTGCTTTTTTTGCTAAATAGGTGCAATATGGGTACTCAGTGCAATTTGGGTACTCAGTGCAATTTGAGTACTCTGACGTTACATTAATTACAATGCTTCTGTTGAGAAAAATATTTACATGAATATATTATACTAAAGTTATATTTACAAAGTTTACAATAGATTAACATAATGAGTAATTTATGTTAATATGTACATTTTTGTGTATCAGTACTATATGTGTTGCATTTGTCAGGAATAAATTGTAATGGTTTATTATCATCATACTTTTTTGCTTTTATTTTGGTATATTGTTTTTGTAACTATTGAATGCTAAAAGAAGTATATTTTTTTTTTAGGAAATATAGGCTATGGTTAACAGTATGAACTGGACAATTTCTATTTTCCAATTTGGACTCAAAAGCTTTGCGCATCATCTAAATACGAAATGTGAACATATGTACAGCTGCATGTATGAATCTGGATGTGTACACCTGTTGTCAATTTACTATTCATTTTTGGAATGCACAAACGTGTTCTGTGCATATCTGTGAACAGTATTGAAAAGTGATATATTTAATTATTTTGTGATAGAAGAAGGATCATTTTGACGCACATCTGGATTAGTTGGAACCGTGGTGAGGAAAGCACAAACTTTAAATAAAATAAAATTGTGGACAGCGAGTGGACCTACAACTATATAGAGTTGCACTTTGATGAACTACGCTGTGAATGAGTTTTGTTACAAGTATCATACAAAAATAAATATCACTGTACATGTATTACAATATATTATTAAATAAGTGTTACATTATTTATTTTCATATTTAAATATGTTAATAAGTTTCTGCAGACTGTTTGTATCAAAGTAAATCGAAATTAAAGCGGAACTGCCAAACACAGAGAATAAATACTGATAAACCCTGGTTTGACCAGAAGTATGAAGAGCTATATGCTGATTACTGTAAAAGATTACATACTTTTAACTGATAAAAAACATTTAATAGTCATATAGATTTGAACAGTGCCAAAAAAGCTTATAATAATTATGAATGTAAGCTCAAATGTAGTTACAAACGACAGGAAGGTCTATGTTGTGTAAACTAAAGAAAGACAATCCAAGACAATTTTATTCATTATTTAAGAAAAAAAAATCAGAGGAAATGTGATGTAAACATTACTGACTTTTTTTTATTATTTCAAAGAACTTGTTTCAAGTATGCCTATTAGCAACATGAGACCCGAAGTGATTAATAACGACTGTGTCTTTGATGAGTTAGATGCAGATATTAATGCTGATGAGATTTTAAAGGCAATTCTTGAACTTAAAAGTGACAAAAGCCATGGTCCAGACTGTTTGCTGAATGAATTTTTCATTGAATACAAGGATTTTATTATGCCATATTTATGTACTATTTTTAATGCCGTATTAATAGTGGATATTTCCCATCAGCATGGTCAGATGCTATCCTGGTACCAATTTTCCAATCTGGTGAAACTAACGATGCAGCAAACTATCGTGGTATAAGCCTTGTCAGCAATCTAGGTAAACTTTTCACCACAATACTAAATAAAAGATTGTTAAATTGGGCAACCTTTAATGGTATCTTTTCTGATGCACAGTTTGGTTTTCATAATAGTCATGATAGTTATAGTACAGTTGATGCTGTTTTTTGTTTATACTCTGTTATTCAAAATACACTCTGTAAAAATAAAAAAAATATATTGTTGCTTTGTAGACTACTTAAAAGCTTTTGATTCAATTGATCGTTTATGTTTATGGTACAAAATTGCCAAATTAGGTATCAGGGGAAAACTATTAACTGTTTTAAAATCTATGTATAGTAATGTTAGAACCTGTATGAGATTCAATGGGCTAAACTCTGATTACTTTTGTAACAACCTTGGTTTAATGCAAGGGGAAGTTCTTTCTCTGATTTTATTTTCTTTCTATGTGAATTATTTTGAAAATGAATTTATTGCTAATGGCAATTGTGCCTTAGAGTTTCAAGATATAACATTATTTTTGTTGATGTATGCCGATGATATGATGTTGATGTCTGAAGCAGTAGAAGGTTTACAGGAAATATTGAATACTTTGTCAATTTACACAGAAAAATGGGGCTTGTCTGTTAATACAAAGAAAACAAAAAATGTTGTTTTTCGGAAGGGTGGAATTGTCCGGCCTAATGGGTCTATAACGGTCAAACAATGGATATTGTGGAAAAATTTGGTTATTTGGGTGTATTACTACCTTATAATTGTAAATTTCTTAATACACAGAAACATTGTGCAGAACAAGGTAGAAAAGCTATGTTCAGTGTGAGGAGAACTACTTCATCACCATGTTTAAATATATTTTCAATGCTTAGTCTGTTTGATACTTATGTTATATGAGATATGGGGAGTACACAAATCTCCTCTGATAGAAAAGGTTCATTTGGACTACTGTAACATGATATTAAGTGTCAAACGAACGACCTAAAATGTGATGGTCTACTTTGAATTAGGTAGATTTTCCACTGCAGTATGAGCGTAATTTTAGAATACTTAAATTTTGGTTCAAAATTTTAGTGAGTGACAATTGTATATTAAGGTCTTGTTATAAAGAGCTTGTGTTAAATTGTTCAAAATGTATGAAATGGGTAACATATGTAAAAAGATTGTTATGTAGTCTTGGTATGAATAATTTTTTGTATAATCAGTGGTTGTTGATGTAGACAGCTCATATTTACCTTTAATAAGACAGCGTTTGTTTGATCAAGCTAATCAAGAGTTACATTTTTTATTAGAATCTTCTGCAAAGTGTAGATTATATAAGTATGTGGTAACAAATGTAGTTTTGCAATTTTATTTACAGAAATGCATTTCTGTACTTTTTCGCAAATGTATAACAAGGATTCGTTTGTCTTCACATAACCTTTGTATTGAAACTGGACGTTATGTTGGTACTATTAAAAACGAAAGAAAGATTTAAGAGTAATAGAGGATGAATTTCATTTCATTCTACAATGTAGCAGATATACTGATTTGCGTAAAAAATATATCAAAAAATATTACTGGTCTAGGCCATCAACTTTTAAGTTAATAGAATTATTGTCTGGTAAAAAAACACAAAACAGCTTTGTAACATATATACATTTCTCTTTTATATTAAGAAACAGTTAAGTGTAAATATATTTTGTAAACTTCTGACGTCACCTATTGTTATTTATGCATATTGTTAAAATTATTTGTAATATGCCATATGAATACACTAATGAACCGTCAGGCTCAAAGGTAATAAAGAATGAGTAGTTACAGTACTGATAAATACCATTGAGTTTCATTTGATATGATTAAGTTGCCAAAGTTTTTGTCCTTTTTACTGTGGTATCACCATAGTTATCATGCAGAACATGGGTCGGGGTAACTGGAGACCTTTTCACGTTTCTGTTGGCTTTTAATCAGCCTATTCTTGACGATTTGAATTTGTTTTAGCTTATGACGACAACATTTTGTCTTGACATTCAAATTGTTAAATCAAGGCTTGGTTAATAGTCACATTTTCTGAAAGCCTTGTTTGCGAAACTTTAATTTTGGTCCGAAATTTTGTATGTGGATAAACACTAATCCTATTAGCATCCTATGCTTTCTTCTATTCAGGCTGAGCACAACAAAACAAAAAGTTAGACTATAACAAAATTAAGGGCAAAAACCATGCTTCACTAAAATTAAATGGTTGAAGAACAATGCTAAACCGCTAGAGGTTCATCATGGCTATAACATAGACAATAAGATGATTTGGAGTTATAAAATCGAAAAAAAAGTTGTCTGGAAGACTGCAAAACTCTAGATCTGACTTTCAGTGGCTAAACACTCATTATAAAAAAAATGATTTTGTCTTTGATAAGATATAAAATTGACATTCGCGGGATTCCAAGGTAATATTGAGACGAAAAAAATCATTTGAGCGTTTATTTGGCATCATTACGTTTACAAAGAACAAAAGAACGTTCATTGTTTGGATACTACAAAGGGAGGGATTGGTATGATTAACATTTTTTCATTTGTTATTAGTAGAATGTGTATACAAGGTCATACACTCATATGAAGAAAGTTGGAAAAATTTTGGTAATAGCTGGTTAAAAAATATTGACATAATAATTGATGAAAAGTAAATATTATGATGATGCACAGATCTATCTAATTTTAGATAATCATCAATTTCACCATGTGACTTAAAAAAAATATACACCTAGTACGAAGAAAGCAATACTGAAAACTAGATTTTTTTGTAATATTTAAAATATATATAGATATACTAAGGGGGTATTAACACTTTAACGAGTTAGCAGGTCAATTTTTCAGTTAGATTAAACAGATTAGATCTGAACATTATTTAAGGTATTACGATAACATAACCAAAATAAAACCGAAAGATACTCAACAAGCACTTAATCAAAATACCACACAGAAGGCACAATTAAAATGGGAAACTGATGTTGCTGTTAGTATTGTCTGGATCTCGGTTTGAGGGTAATTTAAGAAATCTAGATATGCAAATGATAGTGTGTGAACTCCATTGGAAGTCCATAAATAACATTATTTACACCGAATCTTGACAACATTAATTTGAGCATTTCTTAGTTCAAGGTAACTGCTATTTCTGCACACAGTAGCTTGAAACACAAACTCATTTGTCTTAGAACTGTTAAAAGATGTATCCATTAATAACTGACATAAAAACTATATTCGCAAAAGAACACATGACACATGAATTAATTTTACAATAGAGAATATTAACCTCGGTTTATATGACGGGCCTTTAAATGAAATACTCTTTGGCAATATAGACAAATGGACAGTTTGGAAACTTAGAAATTTAATAACGTTTGAAAACATCACTTACATTAATAATAGAATTATTACACAATAATATTGTGAACTAAGAGAACGTTTAATTACTTATAAAAAAGAACAAGATATCAATAATGACGTTATATAAAAATAAGAAAATGTGAAATGATTGTCAATGAGACAACTCTATATCAGAGACCAAATTACATAGAAGTTAACAATTATAGGTCACTATAAACCCTTCAAAAATGAGCAAAACCCATACCACAAAATAAGCTATAAAAGGCTCTGAAATGACAAATGTTACACAATTCAAACGAGGAAACTAACGTCCTGATTTATGTTTATTAGATCAGGTATGTAATAACTAGGTCAAGTTAGCGGAAAAAATATTTTTTTTACAATGGCATTTTACTTGTTTGTGTATTCCCTGTCTAGTTATATAATTTGTATCTAATTTTAAACGTCAGCACCAATTCGTGATTATTTAATAGCAATGTGCACTTTACTATCTATATCCGTATACTAAAAAATCCTAGAGGAATCTCAGTCGCCATTTTGAAATTCCCACCGTTCTTCTAATATTTCTATATCATCGCAAAGACGCTAATTTTTGTTCCTGAATGAATCTTCTATCAGAATCTTTCATTGGTTTTCCGATCCATGACATATTTAATCAGCTAATGTTTCATTCAGGTAAAAAGACATCAAATTTTCCGGCGAAGGCAACGTCCCATTCGGAATCTGCAATTAACTTAAAATTCCGTATATAAAAACTATAATAACAAGTTAAATTCAAACATTTCAAACACATTCAAAATTTTGATGACTGTTCCTAAAGTATACGCATTTTCCTAAAAGCTGATGATTTATGACTAAGACATTGCCGACGAGCTGCGTATTATTCCGAGTAGCTTCTTGATTAATGAGAGAGACGATACAAAGGGGCCAATCAAAAATAATCAGTCGAAGAAAATTAGATAAAACTATGACCAAAAAATAAAACGGAGAAAAGACCTACAACAATCCACAAAACACATAGATTGAGAAAAACCTCACAAAAAATCGCGAGTGAACTCAGGTGTCCGAGATAAGTAAGCAGTTTCTACTCCTCTAGTGAAATTCGTTTCAAAACTGCACAAAATAACTATAATCTCTTTTCTATATAAACATTTGGTGACTGCATTTGTTGCAACGCAAATAATACACGTATATGAATTATATCTGTCGAATGCATACATTTTATCTTCATTTGTCAAAGTACTTATAAGAATAAACAAAATTGTCAAGCTGACACTTAGTCTGATCTAAGTCGGAATATATACATGTCATAAATTCTGAAAAAATAAACAACAATACACTGTATTCCGTGTATTGATTTAAAGCAAGCAAATTTTATATGCTATATACAAATGTTTTAATTTTTTCCATAAATATCTGTTATTGTAGTTGCCAGTTTTCTTCTTTTTTATTGTCTAAACAAATGCCATGTTGTTGTGTTCTCTATTCGTATAAACATGGTTAAAGTACTTCCACAAATAACGCATACACCAAGTATCCAAAACCACATACTTGGATTAATGTCTACTAACTGAACCCATATCATATTCCATATAATTGCACCAGTGTTGCCTCCAGCACCAACCAGTCCAGCAATACCCCTACTCGTTGCTTGTTAACATAGGGAACAAGAGAATATGTTGTTCCTTCGGAAGCTTGTACAAACACACTACGCATGGTTAATGTGGCAATGGCAGACGGAATTGAAGTCATTGACTGAAAATGATCAGCATCACTCCCTCTCCGGCTAAACATAATTGATGGGCTATAAGACGACCTGGAAGGTGAATCTTTTTGAATAATGCATCTGATAAACTTCCTCCTAAAGCACGGGCAAAGAGCTTCATAAGTCCGAACAATGATGCAATCAGACTAGCTGTATTTTGATTTAAAACACTGCAATGGAAGTCATTTCTAACAAATGTGTTAATATGACTTGCATTGCCGATTCCATTGATGATTTCAACTTCAGTCTTTGTTTCATTGCATCCTTCAATTTTAAACTTGTAAAGAAGATACAAGTTTAAAACTTTTTTTGTTGCAATTTCGACTCCAAAACTCATTCCATACTGTACACATAAAATTAAAACTGTAAAGACTGTCCATCCTGTACTCTGTTGTCTGTAGTTGAAATCGACAATCTTTGAATCATCTGGCTGTACATTTTCATCTGAAATAAAAAAAATTATTATGTAGCTAGTTCTTTGCTAAAATAAATAAACACGAGTCAGGAGCCTGTAATTCAGTGGTTGTCATTGGTTCATGTTTGTCATATTTGTTTTTTTAGTAAATTTTATTGTTATAAATTAGGCCGTTTGTTTTCTCGTTTAAAGAAATGTTTCTCATTTTTCATGGCGGGTTTTTTTTTATAGCCGACTATATGGTGTGGGTTTGATTCATTGTTGAAGATCATAGTGTGACCTATAATTGTTTATATCCACTTCATTTGAACTCTGGTGGATTGTTGTCTCATTGGCAATCGTACCAATTCGCCTTATTATTATAATGCTTCATTGAGAGTGTAGTAGAATTTCGTTTGATTGATCTATTTGCCAAATACCGATTTGATCAAGTTATTACACATTTTTGATTATGATTAAATGTAATTAGAAGATTTGAAAATAAACTTAAAGCTTACACACATACGAAACAGATACATTTACTCTTTCCGTCAGCTCTTTACTCGCGATAAAATTTTATGTCCCTTCTAAGGGTAATAACTCGTACAAATGTATCTCTATAAAAGGGACAATTACATCATTGTCAAACTGACAATTTACAGGAAAATACACGTGTCTAAAAGTTTTTATCTGTTATGTACAGTTTTTTTAGGTTATCAGAATAAGATCTGATTTAAAAAACATTTTGATAAAAGTTAAACATTTAAAGAAAATAAATCTGTGCGATTTGAAAATTCTACATTGTAGCCATTAGTATTTCTTTATCACTTGGATGTCTTCATCAAGAATTGAGCAAAAATCAGTATCTTTCCCTCATTCACAAAAAAAAATCTACTTCCTTTTTTGTTTTTAGGACTTTCACCTAATTACATGTTGTCTGAACATAGCTGGACTTATATAGTTTTTATGTGTTGAGATGCCGTTAAAGAAACATCTACTTATCAATGAATCAAACTTATTCAAACTCAGGTAAAAAGAAAAAAATTGTTCAAATGGACAAACCTGTATCTTTCTTGCATGCCAATTGCCTTTATGTGTTTATTTTCACAAATCAAGGACAGCTAAGGTTTTGCAAAAAAGCTCTAAAATACAAATACCGTATTTAAAATCTAGAGCTGGATAATTTCATATTAGCTGGTTAATTTCTTTGAACTTGATTTCAGTAACTGCAAGAATTCTTTACGGTATTATAAAGTAAAGTTTTGCTTGAACACCGAATGTACATGCATTTTGTTG